CCACACAACACAAACACACCACACACAACAAACCACACACAGCACACAAACACACACACACAACACAACCACACACCACACAGATATATATATATATATATATATATATAATATAATATATATATATATATAATATATATATATATATTATATATATAAAGTTTCAAGTTGGGGAAAGGGTTCGCATTCATTTCGGGCAAGAGTCCCTTGCCCCCACCAATTATAAGGGCATGTTGAAATTTATCCAGGAAAGGTAAGGGACGGTATCCGCTAAGGGGGCGATTTTAAAGAGTTTTTTTCTTCTTTCACTTTAGAACAATTCCGTCTAGTATAGAAATTCATTTTATGTCATGACAAAACGAAATGATCCATTTTTTTGGCAAGGTGAAACAAATGTTCACCGCAGAATTCCTGAGCCTATTCAATTTCTTCGCTTATACTTTGTAATGTTGTACGTTGTGATTACTAAGTAATCTAAGTTTCCGTGACGCTCGCATCCGGCGCATGTCCGTCCGGCCGATTCGCGATAAAAAGAACAGATTTTATGTTTAAAGAACACTCCAATCCACGCTGAGTTCATTTGAACAAAAGGAAGAAGCCTTGATTACATCAGTAACATATCCAACAGCTTGAGTTGTTCATCTATAGTGGTTTTGACCCAATTTTACGTAATTTTTTTTGATTTTAGGACTTTTTAGAAGTTTATTGGACCATTTTGTCAATGTTTTAGGTCACCGAAATCCGCCCCAGTTACCCACAATTCCAGGTAGAGGAACCGGTTGGTAAATCGTTCATGAATTAATTGCAGAGAAAAGGCACATTCGAAAGACAGGCATAAAAAGAAAATGAACGCGGCGGGAACGGAATCTGCATACGGACATCGTCACTTCACAAGAAGAAATCACTTCCCAACTCCACAAATGAGGAAAGGAAAAAAAAATTTAACGAGTTTGCCACTGAAAATACTTAGGGCCCTGCCATGCTTGCGAAATAGAATTTGAGGATACTTTCTTTTGCAATACTTTCTCGCCCCTTATGAAGGTTAAGGCGAGTAAGTAAAAAATTTGAAAACCACACATTGGGTGTTAATAAGGGGAACGATGGAAGATAAAAGTGTTTGAGGGTTGTGGGACATGTAGCGAAAATAATCGTTTAAAAAACATCGGTTCAAATCAAAGCTGAAGGCGAACATCCCATGGCAAAAAAATTTATGAAAATTTTAGGGAAAAAAGAAGTTAGTTGAAATTTTGGGGAAGCCCGGTTATTGAAAAAAAACGAGGTCGTTTCTTTTTAAAAAATTTTTCCAAAAAAAAAAAACTATTTTTTTTGGGGAAAAAAAAAAAAAAAAAAAAAAAAAAAAAAGTTAAAAATAAGAATGGTGTAAATCTCTCCGGTGTTTGTGTTTGTGTGTGTTTGTGTGTGTGTTTGTATGTGTGTGTGTGTTTGTGTTTGTGTGTGTGTTTGTGTGTGTGTTTGTGTGTGTGTTTTTGTGTGTGTTTTTGTGTGTGTTTGTGTGTGTGTTTGTGTTTGTGTGTGTTTGTGTGTGGGTTTTTGTGTGTGTTTGTGTGTGTGTTTTTGTGTGTGTTTGTGTGTGTGTTTTTGTGTGTGTGTGTGTTTTTGTGTGTGTGTGTGTGTTTTTGTGTGTGTGTGTGTGTGTGTGTGTCTCTTTAATGTGCGTCATTTCATCATTCATCGTCACCATCATCATTTCATCCTACCCTTAGGCTGACAACCCTGGAGTATAAAAATGGAATCAGCATTAAATTGCTGATTCCCCCTATAGAAAAATGTGTAAAGACCCTACATTAAGTTTAAGAAAATGTGTAATTGCATTTCTCCCCCATTTTATTCACAGATTTAACTGCTTCTGATGTTAAATAAATAAAAAACAAATAAAACTAGTCCGAAGCATTCATCGTGATTTATTACAATCTTAATTATTACATATTGTTTATGACATTCCTTTCATAATTTACTTTTAAATTACAATGTCTTCTTTGATTGTAGGACCTACTTCATAGTAGCCAGTCGCATGGTTCGTCCTGGTCAGGTGTATCGTGTGGCAGTGTCTGTTCTTCAGACAATTCATCCTCTCACTGTACGGGCTTCCATACAAAGGAACGGTGTGGAGATGAGTGCTGATAATAAGGAGGTGAAAGAAGGAACTCCAGAAACGCTGATAATGAGGGTATTGACTAGAATTTAAAACATGCTGAAAATCTTTGTATAATTTTTATAGAAATGCAATTTAAAGTGTAAATTAATTTTTAATTCACTTGTTTTTCAGATTCCTCCAACTAGTGTACCTGGAAATTACAAATTGCGTGTTGAAGGAACTTACGATGGATTGCTTGGAGGGATTGCATTTGTTAATGAAACATACATTACTTTCTCACAACGGTCTATGACAATTTTTGTACAGACTGACAAGCCCGTTTATATGCAAGGACAAACAGGTATGAAAGATAAAATGTTGACCGTTATTTTTAGACAATCAATGTTCAGATTTTGCCAGAAGTGTGTTTTATTTTTCAATGAACACATGAAACACAAAATTTCACATACACATGTTATGCATGTTTAAGTGTAAAAAAAATTAAATCTAGTCTGGAATTGGATTACAAATTTTTGGTAAAAAGTGGTGGACACAAGTGATTAAAAATCAGAGGTGAAATGTACAAACTAATGGTAAGAACTAAAAGACAGATAAAAACTACTGCAAAATATATGAACAGATGGGAGAGGACCTACATTTTAAAGAAATAAAGATTTGTCAGAATAACAAAATTTGGAAAAAATCTAGAATATGCATCCAAATTGGATTGGGAGTAAGCACCTTTGCATCAAAGCAAGAGGCAAGTGTGAATTGAGGCAATATGGAATAGTAGAAAATGTAGACTTTTAGTTTCAAAGAGGAAGGAAAGGGAATGAATGGAGGTGGAAGGGGGAAGGAAATATACATGAATAAGAAAAATAGATTGAAAAGGAAAAGATAAAATTTAAAAAAAAAAGATATGAATAAGAAAATAGGCATATTACAAACTATAAAAATAAAAATATTTTAGAATAATTTTATTATAGTCAGAACATTGCCATAAATGTTTGTGAATAATTTTATTTCCAACACGGTATTAATAGTATTGTGTGTCTTTTGTAAAGCTTTGGAGATTAATCTTTAATATTTCCTGGTTTCATTTTCTAAAACGGTAAAGCTCCCAAAATTAAAAGACTGAGAAAAATCAAGGCAATGTCAAGAAATTGAGTTTAATTTTGTTGCAGTTTCCTTAATGTTATTCATATGCTCTTTTATTCTTTGTTTTATAGTGAATGCTTTGTCTGTCCTGCATAAAGAGACAAATGCTCTCATGGCAATTACAGCAATTGCTTTATAGATTAAAGAGATTTTATTCTTAACATTCTGAATTAGATTCTGTTTAAGGGGCAATTTATTTCTAAATTTTATGTCAAATTTCAAACTAAAAAACTCTCTGAAGGAAATTATTTATTTCAGGGGCCACATTAAAGGTATTTGTTTGACATTGATGGGTAGAAGTATTGCTTAACAAATTTATTGCCAAACTGACAGTGGTTTTGTTGTTTTTATTATTTATACTCGCTAAGCATCATGTGAGATACTTATGAATAAAGTGAGAAGGGTTGTTGTTTGCAAGTAGGATACTGTCAATCAATCAGTCAATTCTGGCAAAATTTGAACTTTGAATGTCAAAATAACAAAGGATACTTGAATAAACTTTTAATTATAAATTAGACAATCACACTGGTAATATTTACCTCTTGACTTTTTGAATTAAAGATAAAATTTGTAGTTTAATAACCAGTCAGAATGATATTTATTTCAGTTATGTATTCTTTTTGCAGTGAGATTTCGAGCAATACCTATCAACACTGAACTACGTGCTTTTAATGATGCAGTTGATGTATATATGTTGGATCCCAGGGGGATTATAATGCGAAGATGGCTTTCCCGCCAGGTAAGGAAATAGGTGATTTAAATTGATTTTCTTGGCAAATATTCTTCATTGGTTCTAATTTTTAATTGTATTTTACAGTCCAACTTAGGAACAGTAAGCTTAGAATACACATTGTCTGACCAACCTGTGTTTGGCCAATGGATTATTCGAGTTATAGCACAAGGTCAGAGAGAAGAAACTACATTTCTTGTTGAAGAATATTATCAAACAAGATTTGAAGTAAGTGTGGTACTGATATATTGTCAATTGTTTGTTATATTTAAATAACATACCCTTTGTTTTCACATCAATCGAGGACATCAAATTAATAAGTTATCGCATAACTGAAATAATTTATCATGGGAATTATAGGAATTTATCTGGGACTCTCCAAAAAAAGTATACAAATGTGAAAAACATATAAGTGAGAAATGTATAAAAGAAGTTTCACTGTAATTATGTAGAATTTACATTTGCCAAGACCATGACTTATGTTGACATTGGACAGTTGTTTTTTTCATGACACACGTTTCACATTAAGCAAGTTTGACTGAATTTGTAATGTATTGGACAGTATCTGAAGTAAGCAGACTTTGCCCAAGAATCTATTAATCAGTCTCTTAGAATAAGCAATGAATGTCATTAATTGTGTAAGTTAGAAGTGCTCTTATTCTCATCACTGTCATCTTCATCCTTCTCTGCTCCACCCACTCTTCCTGCATTGCCTTGCCCTCTTCCTTCCTCCCCCTCCCCCTCCCCCTCCCCCTCTCCTGTTCTTTCCTGCCCTGTTCTGTTCTTCTGTTGTTCCGTTCCACTATGTTCTGTTCTGTTCCATTCCATTCCTTTCCATGTAAAGCTGGGTGTTCTCTCTCTGTCTCCCAGTTTTCACACCAGTGCTTTCAATAAAGCAATGCTTTTAGTTCCTCAGAAATGTGCTGGAGGTTTCAAAGTTAATCCCACAGGCCAGAGTTTACTGATGGTACAATTGTTTTTGTTAATTAATTAGTACTGTATATTTTAAATACTATTACAATCTTTCAATAGACTTAAAAATGTATGAAAAATTAGGGGGATCTATGGGCTAAAATATAGAATTGTAGAAACATTAATATATTTTGAGGAACTTTGTTTTATATATAGTAGTTAAATAAACAATACTCAGTAGTTCATTAATCTTTGCGTCACATCATTGCGGATAATCAGATCACTATTGTTGTAAAATGAAGATTTTAAAGAAGCGTTTTTATTTTACTCCACACAACATTTTGAATTTTAATTGTTAAACCCATCTTCAGGTGAACTGTAATATACAGTACATATTAAAATTATAATACTATCACAGTTTGAAAAAATAATGAATAGCACAAAATTACATGGAAATAGTGGCTCACCTTGGGTGTTTCTTATAAAATCAGGTACTTCATTAAAGTACGTAAAGTACAATTTATAAAGTACTTACTTATGTACATTACATACATATGTACTTTAAAATGTACTTGTATGTTCTTTATAAAATCATAATTCATAAATTATTTCACTGCCGTAATTTAATTTCATGTGTTGTTAATTTCCCAAAAAGCTTTCAAAAATCTCTATAGTGATTTTTTTCTAAATGGTGTCCCAAAATATTCTAAATGTAGCATTTAACTTTATATTAGTGTTTCAAGGAATATCTGCTGCAATATGGTTGTTCTTCAGAATAATCACAAGTAGATTTTCTTTGTTAATAATCATTACTATTATGTTTGAATTACCTACATTTACAGTCTTCAGAAAATTTGCCTTCTTGTTTGGAGATATGTCGTGATCTTTAATGAATGTTTTGATAATTCAACAGGTAAATGTGACTATGCCTGCATTCTTCTTCACAACTGATGAGTACATTTATGGCACTGTGATGGCAAATTATACAAGTGGTGCTCCTGTTCGTGGAAATCTCACTCTCAAAGCCACTATTAGGCCAGTAGACCAAAGATACAATAGAGTTGAAAGACGACAACCTGTTGAAAAATACTTCAATTTTGTAAGTTTACTGGATAAACTTTTCGTAAATATTATATTTCAACATACTTCTTACAGAAGTGTTCTCAACATCCAATTGAGCAAACAAAATTTAATTGAAGAAGGGTAGTCTATGAAGGCAATATTTTTATTGTTACAGAATGAAGAATATCCATCATGGTTTTCAGTATTTCAGAAAGAGGAGGAGGAATATTATAGAAGAAATGAAAATCATCTCAGAGTGCCACATATGAAATTTGTGAGTGCAAATAAGTTAGCTTTTTGCACTAGCAATGTTGAAATACATTTTGGAATAAGTAATTAATAATATTTATTTGGGAGATAACATAAACTTTATTTGGTTTTCTCCTATATAGTCATCAGTTCATCATCTTAGTCATTTACTTAGCATTTCTTAAGAATTCTTAATATTTCTTATCATTGAAAATGTCTGTTGCAGTTTCAAGGAACATACAGATTTAGATATCCGATTACAGAATTACAACAGTATGTATCATCATTAGATGGAATGGAGGTCATATTTACAGCCACAGTTGGTGAAAGGTTTATGGACGAAATTATAGAAGGATATTCCATAGCACGAATTTATAATTCATCTATTAAAGTTTCCTTTTTGGGAGGATCACCACAAGTTTTCAAGCCTGCTATGCCATTCACATGTTATGTATGTACCTTTTATGTATGTCGTAATTCAATGTTTGTAATCTGATATAGACATTAATGAGAATGTTTATGTTAGTTATGCCCACACATTTTTTGCATTGAAGTGTGTATAAAACACATTTAATTACCACCAAAAACATGATTATTGTCTCTTTGGCCCTAATGAATAAGCTGATAAGTCAACTTTTTACTAAAATATAAAAGAGTTCTACTGAATTCATCTTATTATACCTTGCATTTGTGTGTGATCAAATAAATTAAATTCATTTTGGTTGGTGAGTTTTGGAAAGATGCTTCAAGAAAATGTAAAATTCGTATAATCATAAATCCTAACAAGATAAGTCAAATTAATTGATTATTTATGCCAAAACTACAATTTGTGATAAGTTATTAACATCAAATAAATTCAATAGTCTGTTTATTCATTCTAGAAGTTCAGAAGAAAATTTCAAAAAGGCAAGATATGCAGAGCTCCTATAAAATTTAGTTTTCACAAGTTTTCAGTGTATTCATAAGGGTCAAAGATTTAAGGAAATATATGAAGTTATCATTTATAAATAATTTTAGTTGGCCGTTTCCTACCATGATGGCTCTCCTCTTACACGAGAACGTTTGGAACTTGGCCGAATGGAAGTGCAATCATCAGTGACAATGCAATCTGGAGGTCGCAGATCTCTTGAAACCAAAGAATTAAGAATGTATGGGGATAAGGAAGGTGTCTGGGAATTGAAGGTGGATTTGGATACTGAATTAGGTACAATATCTATCTATTAAAAGATACATTCAGTTAATGGTTTTACAGGAATTTTTATATACAGGAATTTATATTACAGGAATATATATGTATATAAATGTCATTTTACTCATGTTTATTTTGTAATGTTCTCAAGGCCTTACAGAGAATAGACGGTCAAAAGCTCAATTAAATGAAATTACTGAGATGCGGATAACAGCATATTTCAAGGATTATGATGGAGTTCGTGCTACTTCTGATCTCCTTCTTTTATCACACTATTCTCCTGCAAATCACCAAATCAAAGTTTCCACATCTACTCGTGATGCCAAAGTTAGTAAAACTTCAATGTCAATACTTTGAAAAAATTAAATCAAATCTGTAAAAATTATACTAATTTATTTTTCTTTCTTTCTTTCTTTTCAGGTTGGAGAATACGTAATATTTCATGTTCAAAGTAACTTTTACTTAGAAATGTTCAACTTTGTAGTTATGTCTAAAGGCATCATTCTTCTAACTGGTCAGCAAGTAATGCAGCAGTCTGTAAGAACATTTGCTGTAACTCTCAGTGCAGAAATGGCCCCTGTTGCTTCAGTTGTTGTGTATCATGTTGGACGATATGGTGACATTGTTGCTGATAGTTTAACTTTCCCAGTTAATGGTATTTCAAGGAACAACGTAAGTAGATATTGTGTGTACCATATACAAGTGACTTTTTGTTATTGTAATTAACTCATGTTTTAATTTTTTTTTAATTTGTAATTTTTTTTTAATTCTTATTTTTATGCTTTGTAGTTTACTGTTTACATCAACAATCGCAAAGCCAGGACAGGGGAAAAAGTGGAAGTAGCCATTTATGGTGAGCCTGGTGCTTATGTGGGTCTTTCTGGAATTGACAGAGCATTTTATACTATGCAAGCCGGCCATGAATTGACTTATGCAAAAGTTAGTTACTCAAGTTTGATTTTATATATTTTCGGTGTTTTACTTATTATCTTCCTATCTAAATGTAAATGTATGTTGTAGGTGCTTTCTAAAATGTCAAAGTTTGATGAACAAACAAATGGTACCTTTGTTCATGTTTGGTCATCTCATGAAGGTGATCCTGATGAGTTGGTATATTTCCCTTCATCTACATATGGCATTGATGCAAACAGAACATTTGAGTAAGTGATAACATTCTTAAAAACTTGTTGAGTGTGTTATTTCAGAAGCCTGAAAATCTCTCCTTTTTTATACTCTTGCATGATTGTCAACTTGGTTACATATTTCTTTTACATTGTTTACATTTAAATTTCTTTTAAGGTATGTGGGATTAGTTGTATTCAGTGATGCTGTAGTTCCTAAAAGACCAAGTTTCTGCAATGCAACACAAGGGTTCATGGAATGTTTAAATGGTCGCCGTTGTTATTCTATAAAAAAGAAATGTGATGGTCAATTAGATTGTGAAGATGGAACTGATGAAGCTAATTGTAAGATTTTAATATTAATGGCAATACTTCTGTGTAATATTGGTAGTGTTTTGTCTGGATATTAAAATTGTACATGTTATTATCGCTGTTAACAGGTGATTTGGGAAAAGCAGAAGAACTGGCAGCATTCCGTAAATTTCGATTCAATCGCATACAACGACAGTATGAAAATGTTTGGCTTTGGAAGGATATTAATATTGGACCTCATGGCCGTTTCATTTTTACTGAAGAAGTACCAGAGCGACCAGCTCATTGGATGGTGTCAGCATTCAGTATGAGTCCAACATTTGGATTTGGAATGATTTCCAAGCCTTTAGAAGTAAGGAATTTATCCCAGAAAGTAGAAATGCATTGTAGTTAAAGACTCAGAATAATGTGTTAATTAAATTCCAGTACGTTGGTGTTCTTCCTTTCTTCATTAATGTGGAAATGCCTTCAATATGCCGACAAGGGGAACAAATTGGCATAAGAGTGTCTGTATTTAATTACATGACATCTGCAATAGAAGCTACAGTGGCGTTGGCTGGCTCAAAAGATTATAAGTTTGTTCATGTTGAAATGAATGGAATTGTAAGTAATATTTTAATACACACAAATAACTTGTCAAACTTGTCCTTTGATATCTTTATTCTTTTCATCATAATATTAACAGGTTAGATCCTACAATCCAAGAACATCATTTAGAGAACATCAGTTCTTTATTTACATCCCTGCACAAGATGCTGCAATTGTTCATATTCCTATTGTTCCTACGAGACTTGGTGATATTGATGTTACAGTACTAGCTTCAACATTGATAGGTAGAGACGTAGTCACACGAAGATTGCATGTAGAGGTATGTTGAATTGTTGAAATAGTATATTAAAAAAGTTGTGGCATTTACTCACAGGATGACCCTATTGTGAGTGTAAACATGATGAGCAAGCAAATAATATACATTACTTTCTTATAGGCTGATGGTCTTCCCCAGCACAGACACCAGTCCATTTTGTTGGACTTGAGTAATAGAGCTTATGTTTTCCAATATCTCCATGTTAATGTGACAGAAACACCTATTATTCCATACTATCAAGATCGTTATTATGTATATGGTTCAAACAAAGCATTTGTTTCAATTGTTGGTGATGTTGTGGGACCTATATTTCCCACAATGCCTGTAAATGCAACTTCAATGCTTAATCTCCCAATGGATTGTGCTGAACAAACAATGTTCAGTTTTGCATCAGTTCTGTACACCACTATGTACATGCGACTTATTAATCAACGCAATCGTACTCTTGAAAAATGGGCATTTCATCATATGAATATTGGATATCAGCGGCAATTGTCTTTTCTTCAACCTGATGGTTCTTTTAGCTTGTTTCGAAGTGATTGGTTAGTGAATTAATTTTATGTGTGATTATATATTTTATTTTATTTAATTTTAGAAGTATATATATTTTTTTTAATGTATTTCTTTGCATTTCATTACAGGAATCAGTCAGCATCAAGTGTTTGGTTAACTGCCTATTGTGCTCGAATATTTCAAGAAGCTAGTTTTTATGAATGGGAAAATTACATTTATATTGATCCCAAGGTATGAATTTTTTTATAATACAGTATTACTGATTCATAAATTCACTCCCTCCATCAGAGTTCTAATATATTTTGTTTTTGTTTATCCTTCAACATATTTTTTTTTAGGTAATTGAAGGTGCAGTACAGTATGTTTTGAGGCATCAGACTCCTGAAGGGTCATTTTATGAAGTAACGTGGTTGCCTGATCGCAAAATGAATGATTCTCTGCTCTGGCCTGATGACAAATTGAAATATCGAAATATATCTTTGACTGCTCATGTTCTTATAACATTAGAAACTGTTAAAGACTTAACAGGGGTAAGAAATTAAAATTATTGTTTTCTTATTTCTTCACTTAAAAAAAAGTTCTGAGTTTTTATGAATTCTTATCTTACCTCTGATCTCACTTCTTTGTCACTTTTTTCTTTTCTCAGGGGCTTGGCGCTCAAGTGGCTCTGGCTCAAGCAAAGGCTATTCATTGGTTAGAGAGAAACTTGAAATTGCTGCAAGATCATGGAGAACCTTATGAAGTGGCTATTGTGGCTTATGCTTTATTGCTTAGCAAGTCATCATCTGCTGAATCGGCATTTGACACTTTAGCTAAACATGCTCGCTCGGAAGGTTAAAAGAATTTCTACATATTATATATTTTTTCCAAACATCTACATAATAACTTTACTTAAATTATATTTATATCGTTTTGTTACAGGTGGTTATATGTATTGGGGCAAAGAGAAAGTGCCAGACCCCCCTTACAAAATGGAAAACCAAAAACCTTTCCTATTACCAAGATTGCCTTACAGATATGATGCCTCTAATATAGAGACTACAGCCTATGCATTGCTGACATATGTTGCACGACAAGAGTTATTCATTGATCCAATTGTTAAATGGTTAAACGCTCAAAGATTAACAGATGGTGGTTGGGCATCTACTCAAGATACTGCTGTAGCTATGAAAGCTCTTATTGAGTATACTGTGCATTCACGTTTGCGAGAAGTCTCTGATCTTACTGTGACTATTGAGGCAACTGCCCTTAAAAATCAAACAAAGCCCTTGCATGTAAATGCTAAAAACTGGGCTCAGTTGCAGAGAATAGAGGTTTGTAACCAATACCACTGTGATTAAAAGAATTATTTGATTGGATTAGGTATGCTTATCATTATTTCTTGGGTACAGATTCCTGAAGCATGGGGTACAGTTAAGGTACAAGGAAGAGGTGCGGGATATGCCATTCTCCAGATGTCAGTGCAGTATAATGTGGACATAGCTCGATTTCAAACAGAGCCTCCTATCAGAGCATTTAATCTCAGGACAAGAGCTAACTTTCATGGGAGAAATCACTCTCATGTAACATACAAAAGTTGTCAGAGGTATAAAACATTATAGTTTTGTGTATTAAATATTTTATACTGAAATAGCTCACAAAATTCTCAATCTGAAAGGAACTGTCTATCAAGCTTTGGGTTAAATACCCTTCTAAAATTTTTTGAACCATTTTAAATATTCTTAGAATTTAATATTATTTCTTGTGTGTGACATTTTGTATCATGATAAACTATTTTATTTATAGTTGGATAAATTTTAATGAATCAGAAAGATCTGGAATGGCTGTTTTGGATGTAACAATTCCTACTGGATATATTATTCAGCAACAAAAACTTGATGCTTACATTATTTCAAGACAAGTTCGAAATCTCCAGAGAGCACGTTTCCAGGAAAGTAAAGTGCTATTTTATTTTGACTATGTAAGTATATAACTTATTTTTTCAAAAGATAAATTTTTTATTATAGAATATGGAGTAAAGATTTTTTTTATTCAAAGCTTTGCTCAACAGAAACTTTGCAATTGAATGTTTTTGTGCAAGGCTTCAAGAATGTAGTTTTTCTGTTTTAACTTTTATTGTGAGAGACAAGATGTAAAGAATTTGTTATCTTATTAATTATGATGAATTTCTAAAGTAATTATTTTGTGTTGTGGAGTTCTCTCTCGCAGAGTTTTATTAAGAACCATTTTGCACAAAGTAAGATTTTTACCTCTCAAGGTGCATTCAAAGAGATTTGTGTTTTTTCTTTTTGGCACTTTGTCATGTCTCATGTGAACAATGTGTAAAAAGTTAATAAATCACTATCCTTAATGTTTTGACAGCTGGACAATGAAGAGATATGTCTCAATTTCACTGTAGAACGTTGGCATCCTGTTGCTAATATGTCACGATATCTTCCTATAAGAGTTTATGACTACTATGCTCCAGGTAAACTTACATGAATTTATGGCAATGATTATGTATAGTTATTTTGGATTATTTTTAACTGCTGCTTAATTTCTATATTGGTCTGTGGCTTAAGCTTGTTTTTTCATTGCTTGCTTATATCATTCTTTTTTTTTCTTTTCTTGCAGAACGTTTCAATGAAACAATATTTGATTCACTTCCAACATATTTGTTGAACATATGCGAGGTGTGTGGAAGTAGCCAGTGTCCTTATTGCCCAATCTACAATTTGGCTACAACATTACCTGTGCCTGTGACAGTTCTTATGGTCACCTGTTTTATTTTACTAATTCGACATTTTCGATCTTCTGACATATAACAAACTGACAACGTGCAAGTATCAGAAAAGCACAAGGAAGACGGGGGAAGAATCACGTTTCTCACAAATAACGTGTCAAACAATAGGAATACAGGTATATGTATATTGACTGCTAAACTTTGTGGGTGTCTCACACAGTTGTAGGCCATCATTGCCTTCACCCCAAACTTACATGTACATGTGTTTTATTTTATTATATGTGAAGTGTAACATGGATGAGTTTTAAGATAGATTTGTAAAAATTGAAGTTTACAAACACTAAATAGTAAATATACATTTTCTTTCTTTTTATGTGCTCTTCTATTTAGCTACTTATGTAATATGCTGTACACTGTATATGTTGTTATTATTATGATTAACTAAGAGATTGACATAAAATTCTTTGGTCCTTGTATTTCAAATTTTTACATATCAGAAACAAAAAAGCATGTATTAATTTATGTTGATGCAAGAGATCTGAGCTGTGGAATTTTGAGGTGTGTTTTAATTCAACAAAAATGATGAAACACCATGTAGGAATGATCTGATTTTACCAGGTACAATGAGAAATTTACAAATGCGAGATAAGTGCCATAAAAGATTTCACACCTCAGATTTTGTGTGTATGCTGTTTTTTAGGCTCAAAAAAGGCAGAGCAGAAAGCATCATAAAAATGTCCTTCACAATTTCAGAAAATGTATGAGTGACTGAATAAATAATCATAGATCCTTTTTGAATGTTGATACTTTTGTGTTATTTTATGAACTAGAGATGTAAAAATAATATTGCTGTACTGAATTCGTATAATGTTTGTGAAACCTGAAAGTTTGGAGGACCAATAGTGTGAATGCTTGTGTGGATATTTGAATCATTAATTCCTGAATTGGCACTAAGCATCCAAAAATGTTTTGGAACATTGATTCGATAGATGAAATAAAAGATTTATATCTACATCAAATAGGTTTAATTCTTCCCCCTGGTCCTGAAAGCAGGTGGTGTCTGCTTTACATTGGCTGTGTTTCTACCTACACATGATGCATCACATCATGAATGAACGCTGTGTTTGGTGCCAAGTGTGCATTAAAAGTTACTGACAGTGAATTTTGTTCTATAATACACACATTCTATGTTCTTCTTAAATAACTTTAAATATATTTGTTTTCCTTTTAAAGATTTTAAATTTCTTTGACATGCCATTAATTTTCATTCCAAAAAAAAAAAAAAAAAAATTGAAATTTGTGGTTTTAAATAGGATGCAGTGGACAAAAAACAACTATACAAAACTTCTATACAAGCCAGTTTAGGTTTAATGAATATCAAATGAAATGATACGAACATGCATTTTATAACTGAATATAAAATGTTATGTTGTTGGAGGGAAAAATGGTGCCCTCAAAAATCCCTGTTATTTTGTGTCTAGGCAGAAGCTTTCAAGCCGGAATTCCCTCAGTGCAAGTTAATCATGAAAGTGACTTAGGGTATCATTTTTTAGTTTTAAGTATTGTTACAAACTTTTTTTATTCCGTCCTGCATAGTTGTATTGATTTAATGATTATTTTATGCTTAAGTGTATAGAAAGACACCAGGATGTACTTTTTTATCTTTTTATATTCAAGCTAGTCAAGTTTGCTACTTTATATCAGAAATTTAATTTGAAATGATTATCACAAGTTTTTATTCTTATATACATACATTTGGAAAATGCCACCTGTTACTATAGTTATCATATATTTATTTGGAAGGTTACCAATCCACAACATAAGGGGATAATATGGAATTTTCATATTGACCTTTAATGTAGACTTATCATAAAAGAATTAAAGAAAAAAGTAGTCTACTACACTTAATCTCTCTTAAGTTACAAATAAGAGATCTAGATTTTTGTGTGCACTATGTTATGTGTTACATTTTTTCTGGTCATTTGCAGTGTTTTTGCAAAATTTCCAAGATTTCATTAACCCTGCCAATAATGCATTTTTAACTACGTTCTTTCTTTATATGGTCACACACATTTTTTTGAGGGAAACAAATTTCCGGCTTGGTTGCTTGGTAAACAGATAAAAAATTTAGAAAAGTGGTTGTTCTGAGCCATAATTTTTTACCTGATATTAGATGTTATGAGAGAGTAATATATGTGTAGTTTGTAGTTTGGTGAGGGGTGAATGCCTTGCTGTAGTCTTAAAAAAAAAGTAATAATAAAAAAATTTGTTACTTGGCAAATGTTTAATGTGAGATGTAAAGAAAATATTATCCACATCTAACATATTTTTTAAAGTGTGAATACAGTGCATTGTACATTAATAAATAAAAATATTTTGTATAAGTTCTTTTAATTGTAAAAGATTGTGTGAAGGTTATTTTCTCTTCTTTTTTCGTCATCATACAAATGAGTACAATTGCTTTTAAGAAAATAATTGTCTAATGCTGCTATGTTTTTAATGAAATATGAAATTCTTGTGATATAGACCATGTTAAATTGCCAAAAAGCTTAAATAGACAGTGTTTTTGCATATCTTCCCTTTTCCACAATTTAGAATGTAATATAATTTTATCATAGTCACTTGGTAATTGGATGAAAGACGTTGATACATTTTTAAACCCAAATATTGAATATAAAATTTAATAATATATAAGAAAATACTATATCAATTTGGTTTTTACATTAATAATTATGTATGCATTGTAAATGTTATTTCTTCAGGTTGTTGTCAATTTAATTTATACATTTTTTTACTACATAATTAGCGAGAATGAAAACATCTCAAAGTCTACTCTTCACTGATACTGTTATATCAAGTGGTAAATCCAATGGCATGCGCAAAATGGTAGGGGGAGCAGGAGAGCTTTGCTCCCCCTCCCCTCCAACTCAAATTTCAAAATGGGCCCTCTAGCCCAAAATTTTATTTCTGTAAATATTATTAATTCCTTATTTTTCCCCATTTTTAAACTGATGCTTGGAGAATTGATACGACATTTAGAAAAAAAAGTTGTCCAAACCATCACGAAAGCCTGTAATTAGTTCAATATAATATCATTAAATTTATAATTAAATTTTTTTATTGTAACATGTCATATGTAAATAGAAAGTGTAACAGAAAAAATGACACAGAGGGGTCTGGAAATGAAGTTGACTGCCTCTCTGGGTTTAGGTTGCACATGCGAATGGGTAAAGCACAAATACAATATCATGGAAGAATACATTTTTGAGTGTAGTTTCATGATATGGTTCTTTTCATTTGAAACTGTACAATTAGGCTTTAACATTGGCAATTACAATATAAATGTTGACTTACATTTGAACTTGTTTATAACCAAAACTAACTATAGTGTTTACAAAGGCTAAAAATTGTCATTGAAAAAGAGTTTTTGAAAGGTTCATGGTATATTCATGAGTATTTAATTTTCTTTGTATTTCCTTGAAATAATTGTACACAGAAATGTGTAATGCTGATAGGGATATTGATCTGACAGAGCAATAATCTTTCCAAAAATATAAAAAGATAAATAAATTCATCAGAAATGGAAAGAAAAGCAGAAATATCCCCATGACAACTTTTCATTCCTTTGAAAGATTTCAGTGTCATAATTTAGTTTATCTTGAAGAGTCGCCCTATGGTAATTGTACATACACCTTGAAATACAAATGGAAGTGAATGGAGTCAGTGAAATCAAAATGTTCAAAAGATTTGAGGACTGTTCATCAGATGGTATTTTGAACAATATAAACTTGTATATTATGTTGGTTCTTGTAAACTAAAATATGTAATATTTCAGAGAATTCTGCAACATTTACTTGTCTGATATTCTAAGTTAAGAAGCAAAGGAAATCTTAAAATAATTTTTAATAAATTCATGTACATCTGCTTCCCATGTGGAAAGTAGAAGAATTGTAATCATTGGGTCAAGTTGCATTGCTTTAATGATTATTTTTTAATAACTGAAGATTGCTTTTAGGAGATTTGTAAATATAAACTTCTGCAGCAAGGCAAATGCTTAGAACACTGTGTGCAGTATTTGAGTTCTCTATTTGAAAAGCATGTGAGAGGTGCAAAGGGGACCAATGCAGGGCAGTGAGTGACTTAACGAGAGTTGCTGAATGAGACACCAAACTCATACTGCATGTTCAATAATCTCAAACTTATTTTCTTCCCCACCTTTTTATTAATTTCTTTTCAGCATTAAGTTTCTCTTCACCTCTCATAATGTGAATTACTCATGTTCACTTAGTCTCAATGTCATACCGTCCACAATTACAGTGACTGTGTCATTGTTTTTTTTTATAATTTTATAGTTTTATTCTTATAGATTAGTTATGTTCATACTAATTTATCTATTTCTTAAGTTATACCTAATAAACTGAGCAATACCACTTGATGGATAAATGTAAATCAGTAGCTGATTCGTTCTTACTACCTAAAATGTACATATTTTCTTAAATAGTAATATGTAGCTGCTAAAATAAGATTCTCTAATAGATGAATCTCTGTGATCCTTCATCCGTTGCTCAGTTCATATTTCATTCTTGGCATAACCGTTTGTTGAAAGAGTAATGTTGTATGTGGATCATATCATTAAACAGTGATCCATATTTTAATGAAATACCTCTTTCACATATTGTATGACTATTAGTGAACACACGTTGAAAATAAAATAAATAAATATTTTCTTTATTAGAAATTGTTCACCTAAAATTATTATTTTGTTGTTCCTCCTATTGTCAAATGTTACTTTTCCGATTAATTTTTCATGCTATAGTTTTTAGATTACATTAAAATACTTGAGTTTATTACAATTTAGATTACAGAATTTGTAAATTGGGTTCAACAGAATATTTGGTATTCACATGAATATAATTGAATAATTGTGATTACAAGTTAGACCTTAAATAAATGTGCAAGATAATTTTTTTGTTTTTCAACTGAAACAAATATATGCAGTGCTTTTTATGGGCCTTTGTATGCCTTCTTTTGGAGGGGAAGTAAAGCCCCTTGTATATTTCTGCCTGCAAAATGTCAAGCAAAAGCCTCTGAGCTAAACTTAAATCACCTATTCTGTCTCCTGAGTGATACCCCTTTTCTCTGCAAAATATTGAAAAGAATTTAGCAAAATTTGTGAAGTCAGAAGGAAGAGCAGGCCTGATGGCCTGAGTCTTGTCATGTAAAATAAGGCATCTTTAAATTAAATTGAATTGAATACCATCAATGAGCTTAATAATTAATGCTCAAGGAATTTCAAAACATTTGCTGTAGTATGTACCAACAGAAAATTTAAATGTTCATTGGGAGAAGATAAAAAAAAATGGGGAGTTTTAGACAGTTGTTAGATTATCACAAATTGATACCCACATTCATCATGTGCCTTATACCAAAACCCTGACCTGATGCATCAGTGACACCTGATTATCAGTGACCTGATGCATCTAAGGATGAATTTTCCTGTGAATGTTTAAAGCAAAAAATATGTCTTCAATTTCGAAATTTTAAACTGTAAAATTGTTACAATTTTCGAAAATACAGAGAATTTGCCGGAAGTGAGACAACAGTTTGACACATACAAGGAGAAATTTTAAAGAAAAATTTGGAGCCCTTTTTCAGAAAAAAAAAAAAAATTAAAAATTGCTTATATTTTAGGCAAAATTACTCGAAAAGCTACTCATATTTTCGAAATATTGTACATGACTTTATTTCAAGATTGTGTTTAAAAAAACAAATTTCATTCAGGAAATAACATCTTTCTACAATATTTTAGTTGTACGAAAACGCCGAAAAACTAGTGCTACAACAGCACGTAGGCCTACTTTTTCGCGATATTGCTAATAGCTATGTAATCTTATAGTACGACAATTTCTCTCATACGCAGAGAGCATATGCTCATATGCCTCAATTACCGTTTGAAAAATACAAAATAAAATTCTTATACAAACGAAGCGTGAAAAGTACATTTATCTTTTTAATTCAAATGTATAAACGAAAACAGCTCTCTGCCATTGAATGCAGTGTATCAACGTTATACATATATGTACCAACGATGCGCGAAGCGTATTTTAGCCGTAATAGTTTATGCAATTAGTTTATAATGTTAAGCGTTATTGCATGAGTACACGTTTTGAAAACGAGCGACTTTAGGTGCGAGTTTTCAAATTTGTATCAATGTAATAAAGCAACATTATAAACGAGTTGCATAATATATTTTATCATCATTATCTCCAATTATCAGTGAGACGTAACAACAATGCGTTGCAACAAGTAACAATGACCGCTTATTGGTACGGGATATATTTTGCAAATTAGCATTGTTACTACACCTGACAAGAAAATAAAAATGGATTCAAAAATATAATATTGTTATATTCATAAAAACTACTGTTTTTATGCGCATTTCTCTTCATTCCCACATCTTATTATGCAAAGCAAATCTCTATTCATTTTCACATTTGACTCTATTAAAGACTGCAATTTAAAATATACTTTAAATAAATTATAAAAGATTAATTTGTGAACGTATAACACAAGCTCAAATGTAAAAAAAAGACCAAAGAAATGTGAAATAATATACAAATTCTAACTTACGAAGCATCCTGCTGGAATTACCTCTATTACGTTCAGGAAGCGCAGTCAATCGGGAAGGGGTTATTTTTTCAAATAATTCAACATGACATTATTTAAAGATCTGTTTTTTAGGAACACATTTCATTAAGAAAAATGTATCTTCACAATTGTAGCAGACGCCAAAATGTTCATTATTATTATTATTATTATTATTATTATTATTATTATTATTATTTTAAATTTCGCAATATCAGACATTTTAACGAACATGAGACCTGCACCATTCTCTTAAGCGTCTTTAACGCAATTTAAGGTTACAATTTTATAAGAAAATGTACCGTTTTTAGGAAAAATGCTATAAAGAAAATTAAAATTTGCCTACGATTGACACAAAATTTCGCAAAAAATGCTCATGTTTTTGAAAATTCGAGCATGGCCTTATTTGAAGATCTGATTTTGATGAACACATTTCATTAACAAAAAATGTATCTTCAAAACTGTAGTTGTAGGAAGACACCGTAAAAATTTTGAATTTTCGAAAAGTAAAGGTTTTAAACGCACATGAGACTTGCACCATTCTCTTAAACGTCTTTTACTCTATCCTACAACAAAATTTAATCAAAATCGAAGAAGCCATTTTTAAACATTTTGAAAATGTTCCAGGGGCTTCTTGTAAAGAACACCCAAAATTAAAATATACGTTTCAAATTCAAGGGGCGCGGCATCAGCCAGATCGATTGGGGAATATCAATTTTGAGAAAATCTGCAGAACGGTTTAGCCCTTATTTACGCTTTCTGTGTACACCACGGTTTGTGCAGACTGGCGAGGTTTATTTAATAATAATAATAATAATAATAATAATAATAATAATAATAATAATAATAATAATAATAATAAATGTATAATTATTAATTCAAGATTTGCTCTCTCAACACCTAGAAGTATTATCAACAGTTGCTTGGTACCGATGAAGATTCTTTCTTACACGTGTAGTGAAGACATTCATTTATTTTGCCGAGTTCTACAAGTGCTGTTGTACGTAATAGTGGAAGGATGTGGGAGTGAAGTAAAGAGTGAAGACGTGTCTTGTTAGGTTTGGTTGGTGTTTTACCTGCGCCAGTATTTTTGTTATCAACAGTGTTTCGGTGACATTTTTAAGTAAGCGTCTTCAGTAACGTAGCTTTCTCAGGAGTAAAAAGCTTTTTTGATATTTTTGTGACTACCACGAAAAGCTGTCAAAGAATATTGAATAATTACTTCAAATATTTTTAAGGAAGTGTTAATTGTTCAAAAAAATCTCTCGATAATACTGAATAAATCTTTAGTGAAAATTTATTTTCCACATCAATTGCATTTTTTATTTTTATGTGATATTGTGTTAGCACAATGGAAGTTACATTTATACATTTTTAAACATATAAATACGTTTTGTTAACAACTTTCCCTGTTAGAATGGAAATAGAAGGATAGGGAAGAGTGTAGGGATTAACATGCGATAGTTCTCGCACGGGTACGCGGAGGTAGTAGGGAATGCTTATATATAGGAGCTTATGCTATGGCACAATAGAAAGAACATTTTTAAATTAACTAAAGTAAAATAGCTCGAAACAAATGAAAAATCAAAATGCGCCAGCCTACAAAACTACGTGAATCAATTTAAAAAAAACAACCAAATTTAAATGTATAGAAGCATTATAGAAATTATAGCGCAAGTCATTCGACAACTGCCAACGATCACAACCCAGACGCACGATTTAAATGTAGATATCTGGAAATTGTACATGAATGCCCAGCTGTAAACTCATACGGTAATAATACACCGAAACTGCTTTTCGTGGGGTAGTACGTAAGAACGCTGGGAATAATCTAATACTTTTTAGTATACAAATAGTTTTTCAATTTTCGCACCTCACAGCTTCGACTCGCGCCAAATGAACCGGGGTTTCTTCAATTTGAAAAAAAATCGTACGCCTGGTTTAGGCGCTAGTGTTGATCACATACACCAGACGGACAGATAGGCGGACGCACGGACGTTTTGAAAAAAAAAAGAAGAAAAAAAAACTTTTTCGGTATCAGGGGACCCCCAAAACTGTGTTTCCGTTGAAATATCGAAATCGATTTTCTGCATCATTATTTAACTCTTTCTGTATTAAGTTGTATATTACTCCTACCCACAGGGGAACAGATACAGGAAAAAAGGCAAAAAAAAAGGCAAATTAGTCTCCGGCGACAAGCTTAAAAAATTACGTGAACGTATTGTCGCCGAGGCAATTTCGGGTAGCGCCGCTTGTTCTTACGCCCACATTGACCAAACAGCCTGTACAGGGCACGTGCATCCACAAGGCCCATTCACAATGCAAACATAAACATAAGCATGGCGTTAAAACATAAAAGTTAGGACTACGTCCATAATAGGACTCATTCACAATGCGTTCGCATAAGCATAACGCGTAAGACGTTGACTTAAAAGCTTGCAAGCTTCAGGCTTCTATGCTTATACTTAAGTAAGACATAAGAAATGAACCAATCACAGTAGGTTAACTCAAAATTGAGAATCGAAATATGAGCGAAGTCGATAGAAGAACTAACGCTATTTGGGCCATGGACACAGTCGATACCTCGAAATCGATGAACATCTGCAGGAACAACTGTGCGTGTGCTACCTCGAGAAGGTTCTATAATTGGTCGATAGTGAAGTGCGACGTAGGGTGTCATTGGGGAACAAATAGGGCCGCAATTGCATGCCACACCCCACCAGAGCCAGTGGCAACTCTAGCTGGCAGA